CTGGTACCGCAGCCAAACGAGCATCTGTGGCAGTGCGGCTAGTCTCCAGCGAGACCCTAGGGCGCGGGCGCCGTTCTCCCAAGTACTGCCACCGGGAAGGTGGCCTTTGCACTTGCTTTGCACTGGAAGCCTTCAGCACAACAGTTCGTCTCAGTATGTTCCTAGTTATCGGCGATCATTACTTGAGTAAAAGTGTTTAGAAGCCCCGCACTCTCCAAGTCAAAGGCGGAGATGGCTTTGTTCTTGCGCGTCCTTGTTCTCGACTTGGCAGCAAAGCGTTCTCAAAGCGCAGCAGAAACGCTGCATCGACACGGTCCGAACGAGATCCCCACCGCTAGCTAGATCACAACACGAACTTCGCATGATGCACATGTTGCGCAAATGGCTCTGCTTTTGTTCTGCGTCGAGCCCAGACGCCCTTCTGCCGGCAGAATCTCAGCTAAAGTGCAGTATGACTGCTGTGCGGCCATACTTTCAATTGTTTTCAGAAAAACTCCATCATTTTCTGAACGCTATGTTCACGGATCTGGCATCGTGCAAGTCCAAGATGTTTATCATCCGCATACAAAAGGGATATCCGAGATCGAGCGACGCTTCCGAACCCTGGGCAATTCCCTCAAGCTTCTCCCCTCACGCTGGGGTGGTGGTTTAAACCACGTTGCCTTTCCAGTTCGCCATGTCTTTCCGCGATGCCCTCACGCTCATTTACGTCGCTTCTCTCTGCGTCCACTTTGCATCGTCTCTCCCTTGGCACGGCTCTGTGAGACATTCGACTCATCGCAGGCGAGAGCTTGCGAAGGGTTTGATCTTTGAAACCTATCACCCAATCTCTTTTTTCGAGGTCAGTGTCAGTACTTGTGGCAGCTGGCGATAATGGCTGATAACCACATTGTTTTCCCAGACTTTTGGTCCAGGCGTAGACCATCCGCTGTTCAAACGATCAGACGCGACTCTTAATGAGTCTGCTCTATCATTCGTGCATTCCAAACTCGATCTCAAACCCGGGGATGCCCTAGTGCACGCATCCTACGAAGGGTCCTCAGCCCGGTACGCGTACTTGAGACAGCACATCCAAGGAATTCCCGTAGCCAACGCTGTCGCAAATGTCGCGTTCAACAAAGACAGCAAAGTGGTCGCATTTGGGTCTTCGTTCTTACAGCAAGGTCAGTTGGTGTCATGAGGCTACTCTAGTCGACCATCCTCTCAGAAGCGTCCAGTTCCTAAGCCGCCGTCTGGCATACCAACGATTGACGTACAGAACGCTATCAAGACGGCAGAATCAGCATTGGGCGGGAGACACGTCCCGGACAACCATCCAGATTCCAGTGGCATCCAATACGTTCTGCAAGGCGACGGCACGCTCGCGCTTACTCACGTCTTCCAAGTCAGCAACGAAACTACCGGGGCATGGTTCGAGGCATTCGTCGACGCACATTCGGGAAAACTACTCTCTGTTACCGATTACGTCGCACACGCAACTGTGGGTCCATATGTAACGGCCTCCGAGGCTCCGCTGACCACCTTTCGTAGTATCGCGCTTTACCTATTCAGAAGCAGGACCTCACAGAGGGCTTCGAGGACATAGTTGACCCGGAAGATATGGCATCTTCTCCGCTGGGCTGGCACAACGATGGCAAGACAGTATCAAACACCACAGCGTAGGCCATACCACTACTTATATGCATGCACGTGCGCTCATGTTTTGGTCGTAGCGGAAACAATGCACTCGCATACAAGGGCGTGCAGACAAACGTAACAACTGAGTCGCAAGATAACCTGACCTTCATTTATACCCAAGACACGGCCACTGTGCCGACGACGACGGCGAATCTCGATGCGGCGCGCGTGAATGCGTTCTACGTTGTCAACAAGATGCACGACGTCGCGTACCGGTACGGCTTCACGGAGGCTGCGTTCAACTTCCAGACCGACAACTTCAACCACTCCGGGCGGGGCAACGACCGGATCATCGTGTCCGTGCAGACTACGCCAGGGACCGACAACGCGTACTTCACCGCGCAGCCCGACGGTGTGAACGGGCAAATACATCTGTACTTGTTTGACTACACGTCGCCCGGGAGGGACAGTGCGTTGGAGAACGACATCGTTGTGCACGAAGTAAGCCGGTACACGTCTACGCCACTTGTTATTAACAAACGCCGACTATGAAGATCACTCATGGCATCACGAACCGGATGACGGGTGGTGGGACTGCCTCCTGCCTCCAGTCTCTTGAAGCAGGGGGTCTAGGCGAAGGCTGGTCAGACGCGATGGCTGAGTACGCGCACACTCTCCCCTGAGCGAAATGACGCTCTGACATACGCCACACGCCGTGTTAGATGGACTGAGCACTCCAGCGCAGACATTGCCGACTACGTCCTCGGCGCATACGTGACGAACAACCCGGCCGGCGTACGCACGCACCCGTATTCGACCAACACGGCGACGAACCCGCTGCGCTACTCGAGCGTCGCAGCGCTAGACGAGGTGCACGCCATCGGCGAGGTCTGGGCGAACATTCTGCACAACGTGTACGCTGCGCTCGTCCAGGCGCACGGCTATTCGCAGACCGCGCTCACGGATCCTTCGTGGGTGCTCCGCATTTACGTACGCCAGAGGGGTGCTGACTGCTTCACAGTGGGACGGAAGGCAACGTCGTCTTCATGCACCTGTTCATCGACGCCCTGCCGCTGCAACCGTGCAACCCGACTTTCGTGAACGCGCGTGATGCGTGGATACAGGCGGACGTCAATCGGTACGCCGGCGCGAACAAGTGCCTGCTGTGGAAAGCCTTTGCCAGTCGGGGGCTCGGTGTCAGTGCCGCGGACTATGCGGATGACTCCTCTGTGCCCACCGGTTGCTGATGTACCGTCTTCCGTTTATACCCAATCTTGAGGGATTTTACTGTATCTCTACAATTAGTGTAGCTTTCGTTTGTCATAGCACATTTGTTTCCCTAACATTATGGGTCGTGCTATCATTTTTATCGAGTAGTATCGCGTATTTCGTTCACCTCACTGTCTCTCAGTTTTTGCCACTCGTTTTCGAGAATTATACCATACTCATTGGACTTCACTATAGACTATCGTACTGCAAACAGAGCGGAAACAACTCGGGCCGACGGCGTAGCTCAAATCCATGAGAACCTACAAATAACAATGAAAACTCACGAGTCTGTAGTTTGTATGAAGAAGACGTACCTCTCATTAAATGCCCAGACAATATTCTCGCTTGGCTCGGGGCCGTACCACTTGGCCACAGGAAGCTGGGTCTCTCTTTCGTAAGTCTCACCTCCCAGCTCTAAGGCTGCCTCCTTAAATTGGTCAGGAATATTCCACGTGTCAACTGCCGCGACGCCTTGTATCCGCGCTGCCTCCATAATTTTACGGAGTAGCTTTGGGAACGTCTCCGGTGTCGCACGAAGGCGCGTGAGGAATAGGCTGGGTGGGCTCTCACGACCGAGGATCCACGTCGCATACGTCGGGGCCTCCTCCCCGTCCCCGACGAGCTCGACACCCCACGTCGCGAGCGGATATACAGGCTCCATCTTGGCGGTGAACGCCATCTGCCACTGGATGGTGAACAGACCGACGCCCTCGTCGGGGAGAAACGCGAGGACGACGTCGTCCCCTTTGGCGAGCGCACGCGCGTCGGCCTTCATGATGGGCACGTTCCGCGCCTAGACACGCTCGACGTCCTCCCGCGCTCACCAGCGCCACTCGCGGCCCTCGACGCCGACGCCGACGCCGTTCGTGCCGCGAGCGTCTACGCGCCACCGCGTGCTCTCCGGGCCGCGCAGCACCCAGCCCACGCCGCCGTCTGCGCCGGGCGCGCAGCGGCGCTCACGGCGTACATCGCTGTGCATAGATGACCGAGAACGCCGCGTCGCGCAGGGTCGAGGCGGACGGCGCGCCCCACGCGGCGGGGAACGCGCGCTCGGGGAGAGCCGACGCCGGCGCGAGGATCCAGTGCAGGGGCCGTGTAGATATCCGCGATGGCGTAGCACTGACGACAGATCTAGGTACGCTGTCCCTCTGCTGCTGCCGTCTGCAGCGGATTTGGAGACAAGGCCTGAACGACGGTAGCTTGAGGGGATTGAAGACATGATTAGCCGAGGAGCAGGTCGAATAGAGGTAGGACGTAGCCGCACGTTTCGCAAGAACACATGAAGTCTGTCGTGGTCGGATTAGTCCTTGGGCCAAGGACCCTACACAAACCATCTGAGTCACTGGTGAATGGGCTGGATGCCTGACATGCCTACCAGGTGATAAGCTTGCCATCTGAGGCATGTTCATCGTAGTCGAGCAGTCTGTCCCGCTCAAGGTACTCCTTGAGGTTTAAACCACCGGCCCACTCGGGTTGCTCTGAACAGCGGATGCGGTGTTCCAGCAGCTGCTCAGGCGTTGCGTTGTACATGGAAAATTGTGGAAATTCTGTCATGGGTAGGACGATGGGTGGGGCTCCGAGTTGGAGGCAAATTTGATGGGTTTTATTCGCAATTCGAGGCGACATGGTGGATGCCCCATGATCAGAAGTACCTGGTCTCTGAAGTTGAACGTAAGTAATCGTAATACCTGATGGACCTACTGGCAATGTGTTGTCTATATCCCTTTATAGTCGCCAACGACGTAGTAAAACGCCAGGATGATCGACTATGGTCACAACCTGAAATAGTAATGTGTGAGGCTACTGATACATATGTAGGACGGTAAAATCTTACTCAAAATGTTGTTGTCAACTTGAAGTTCTTGTAGCGGGCCCGAGCGAATCGCTGCTCCGAGTCATCACGTCTCGAACAGAATGTTCTGACTCACTCTGACTGTTTCTCGTTTCCGACTCTGACTCCTGCTACCCAGTGAGTATGTCGATCGCTGGCCTATTTCTCTGGTATGAAAAAGCGACCATGTCCCACCTTATTCAAGATTGAACTCCAGATCAGCGAAGGGCTATTTCGAGTTTATATTAATTATGTCTGTGTACTATGGTGCACAGCTTTCTGGGGCCGACTGGCCTAATGGTTAAGGCGTCAGTTTCCGGCTTTGTATGTTAGCTGAAGATTCTGGGTTCGAATCCCAGGTTGGTCGACGTTTTTCTTGGCTTCGAACATTTTTTTACGCTACCTCTCAAGTGTCACGAGACCGTCCATACTAAGTACTACATAGTTCAGTTTCGCCTTTTGTCGTACAAACCTTACAGCATCTAAGATTCGTTTGATAGCGGTATGATCTCCGTAGAGACGGAAAAGCATTTCTCCGTGTGATCGCGTCGAGTCTGTCAGCACCGACTCACATCAGACATTCACAGATACCACCTGCCCCACGGCAAGCTAGGTTCTGTGTGTTGTAGCAGCGATTAGATGATGATCATAGCGTTTGCCTATCGATACCCTGGTGTCACACTCGCACAACTTACATGCTACCTTCATAAAACAGCTAGTAGCTTCCTTCGGAGGGCAGGCTTTTTCGTGGCCTTCAGAATAAGTATTTTTCAGCAGGGACGTCACCCAGTCCGCATGGCGATCTGTTCATAACGCTTGATAACTCTCCGGGGTATATCATGAATTACAAACTCTGTTGTACGTGTGATGCGAAGCGAAGTACGAGTGACGAAGATAGGAGATCGCATAGGAAGAGATGAGTGGGTTCATATAGTATTCTATGCAGCACGACGTCAGTGAAATGGGTCCGGTGGATGAATAATTTGAATCTCACTTCACGTATGGCCCACGTCTTCGTTATCGCATTGATTCGGGACCGAATAGCCTCCTTGCACTCCGTGCACGTCACCGCGTCATCGAGCTCGATTGATAGCATCGCCCTTTGCAGCGTATGCGGGGCCATGTCTGCCGCGCATGAGAACACAGGGGCCAACTCACAAGCGGACGTACTCACCACCCTTTGCGGTCCAGGCGAGGTCCGCGACCGCGACAGTCCACGCTCGCTGTATCCGCTTCCGCTCTTCGGACCCGCACTGCGACGTGGCGAGGTGGGATTCGAGCGGCCCGTACAGCATGAACTTGAGCTGCGTCATACGCGCGTGCTGCAGGATATAGAGCCGTCGGAGGTACTGTGCGCCCATGCGCACGGCGAACTCCGTGGAGAGCCGTGCAAGGGGGTATGCGAGGAGGTAGGAGGACGTGTGCGCGGCGATGGCTTCGAGCTGGTGTTCTGCGGCGAGGACATACACATCCATAGGTCGCATGAGCGCATGGGAAAGGAGTTGCTCTCCGAGAAAGCGATGGGGCACTGCTAGCTCTTGCAATGAGATGTCATACTTCTCGAGGGACTTTATTGCCGGTGAAACCACCTCTAGAGGCGCGAGTGATCCTAGTGGTATGTCGTATACCACAGAGAGCACGACGGCCAACACCGCGGAGTCTTCGTCGACCTCGACCAGCATGACCTGGTTCGGTTGAGACATGTTGTCAGAACCATCAGCATGCGACGATAACAATCCCGCAAAGTCATTCTTGGAGAAAAGCAAAAGTCGATGCTTGTGTACATGAAACAAGACATAGTCTGACGAGACGAGGGTAAGATCAGGCGGCAGCGGCTCAGAGTCTCCCGCTGTCCAGAAGACAGGAGACCACAGGCAGCCCTTGTCGTGTGCGGCGATTGAGCTTGCGTGCATCTCTGGCGATTCCACCTAAAACACCACAGGTCGTGACAACTGACATGTAGAGTCACCGCGCAAGGGACGTACGACTGTAAGGCTTCCCTCGGAGCGGGTATCGTCCTCCATCGCGGACTCTGTGAACTTCACCGAGGTAGGATCGTATGTGTTCGTGGTTGTTGAAGTAGTGTGTGCGAAGGTTCTGTATTCACAGGCCCCCTCCAAGCCATCTGCTCGGTCTGCAGCCCGGGTTCGCCTCGAAGTGGCACCGACGTGAACGTGCCATGCCGATGGAGCATCTAGAGCTGGTGCCTACTGACCGGTACTGACCGCCTACATGTAAGAGATAGGACTAGACGACGACAGGCACGCTGCATACGTACCTGACGGGGGCAACAAGGCACTACTCAGATGCACAGAACTCGTGGGATCGCGCTGTGATCATAGCGAAGAGTAATGCACTTGTCACATAGGCACGCTACACTACATGGTGAGCTCACCGCGTGCGTACTTCCTCGCCAACTTCCCGGGCAGTGACACCCACAACATTGGTCTCAAGTATTCCAATTAATCAGCCATAATTAACGAACAGCTACAGGCGCAGCAGCACGCGGCAAAGTAGAGTGTAGGTAGGTATCTAGTGCGCGATCTTCAGCATTTGTTTTCCTAGACTAAAATACGCCGGGGGTTATGATACAACAGAAAACAACCGCGGCGGCCGCGCGACGACCGACCGGCGAGTAAATATAAAATCAGATAGCGTAATTAGTCATAAGTCATTCATGAGTCCTTGCCCAGGACCTGCTTTTGCTTTTGCGCCTCGAGCCTCTTGACCTCAAGCAATGGGTCGAGCTCAGACTCGGGTTGGCGGTATGAGCCGCCCCATCTATCCGAGAAGGTGAAGTACTGGCCGTAGTTGACGGTAAAGTACAGGTGGTGCAGAGTGTGGTGGGCAGGGCCGTTGATGACTCGTTCTAGCGGGTGACCAGTGATCATATCCGAATCGTGGATCTGCGGTCCCTATGAGCACATCCGTGGGACCATCGGCGTAAATAAGGATACTCACGAAGATGCTCCAGTAATTTACGAACACGAACATCCCGAGGTACAACTTCTGGTGCATGGGGAACAGATAGATGAACATGTGGTAGGGCAGCGACTGCAGGTAGCCATCAAGGGGGTGGAACGCGTGCGACGCAAAGGGCGTAGGAACTGTTCAGTCGATAGTGAGTATTCAACGAAGCAGTGCGGCAGAAAAGAATCGTCACGTACTAAGCCACTTATGGTGCGGCTTGTGCAGCCACTTGTAGCATATGGGATGATGCTCCCACCGATGAATCCAGTAGATTCCATAGTCTGTGAAAGCCAAGAAGCTGAAATAGCAAACGTCAGCTATGGGGCCGTGCACAAGACGCAAGGCACGACAGTACGCACAAGAGTATTGAGAAGAAAAAGTAGCCCCAGCCATATTCCGCGACATCCGTGTACAATTTCGAGTGACCGCGGACCTCGGCAAGGAACCACGGGAGAGTGAGCATGATCATGCCCGGGAAGGCCTTGAGACTAGACATGATCTCTAGCCGTACTTGATCCTTCAAGAATCGCGGGTGCTTCATCATCTCGTGGTTGAAGACATACTTGTAAGACAACCCCGCGATGAGGAAATACAAAAAGTGTATGCCAAGGAGTGTAAGGGCCGTGAGCGAGATAAATTGCCTTGGGAAGTAGTCCCGTGGCCACGCAGAGGTGAGAGGAACATCCGAGACTGCCGGTGAGAGGAGCAGCTCGTCTGGGAGTGGTGGGTGGGGCAAGTACGAGATGATATGTGACCACTTTGAAGCGGTGGGAGCGGCGGCGAGTAGTGGAAGCGTGCTATTGAGCGAAGCAGCCGTGCTCAATAGAGTCGAATTTACTGTCCCCGCGAATGCAGAGACAGGGACAAGGTATGCCCAGGCCTTGTCCAAAACGTAGGCGTCCGCGAGGTGGAGGACGATATCCATGGGGAGCGGAAGCGGGTTTGCACGTCGAGGAGTGGGTGGTGTGCGTCGTGGACACTGACGAGCACGGCGAGCAGAAAAGGCGGCCGGTGATGAAGGTTCAAATGAGCGAACGGCCGAGCATTCCGTGGGCCGTGTGCTTTTATGAGCGCAACGAGCAAAGTCAGACCACTCGCGAATTTTGGTAAAGCGTGCTTACAGATAAGATGCAGCGATCAGTGGCTGTCCATAAATGGCAGATCTGTGATAGTTGCCGCCCCGCCCTTCGCCAGGTGAGCACAAGGCCCTCTTCGCCTTCTCCAGCCTCGCCTAGGCGGCCGAGTGAGCGATCAGACCACCTCCCATGCCCGTAAATCATACGTGCAGTATCGTCGTACGTGACTGCATTGCTGCAACTGCTCACCACGGGATCCTTGCTCGGTCGTACCTTGCTACACAGCTCGACGACTCCCTGCACAGCTTGCCATGGATCAGTCCCTCTATAAGCCTCCTCTTTGACTTCGCCTCATCGTAAGACGAAATTGTTGAATCAGAGTCTTCTACCTGCTTAGCATCATTATCGACGCGGACGGCCATACCGAACCGTCGAAAGCGGAGTGTACGGCCGACGCCGACAGTGGGATTCTCGGTTGGGCATTGGGGTGTCGAAGAGCCAGAGCAGCCTGGGGGCGGGCGGTGAAGCTTTGAAGTAGAGAGCGTGGGTAAAGACAGCCTAGGGGACTTGCGTTATGAATGCGCGTTCCCCCGTGGGCTCCATACTTGGCCTAGATGCCGTCATGCCTAGGCCTTGGGACTAAGGTATTGGACCTCTCAGACCGTGTCCTATGACTGCGCACGGTGTTCATAGAGTAGTGAATGCGAATTGAGACGGTATGTGATGGATTAGGTAGCGATGTAATGTATGCACCCTTCTTGCGAGCAAATAAGATTACTGCCACGATTATTGTGGCCGGCACTCTGGCTCTCCCGTCTCGTCCTCATCCTCGTCCTCCCAATCATGCTCGTCGTCTCCGAACTGAGTCGAAAATCCGTGATCAAAGAAGTTACCACCAGCGAAAGGCGTTTCACGCACGTCGACAATGTCGCTCTCCTCGTAACCCACCTCGTCTATGACGGCGGGTTTAGGGTCCATCTCCGGCTTCTTAGGTGGGAGCAGCGCTTCGAGTGCCTGGAAGAAAGTGGTCAGAAGAGCGAATCGGAACGCGCCAGATAACTCGGGGAATCCAACCTTCGGGTCAATGGTCTTGAGCCAGTCCTCGTCTGGCATGTCAACCTCGAACATCACGTAGAGCTGGCCCTTTTGGTCTGGGCTCTTGTACACTGGCATGCCCTCGCCACGAACCATGATGCTATCGCCAGACTTGTAGATCTTGCCTGGCATGCTCGAGACATGGATGCCGCGGCCGTCCAAGTGCGTCAAGATGATCCTCGAAAAGCCCAGAAGAGCCTCTGAGAGCGTGATGTGCACCTTCGTG